AAAATAAAATAAAAATAAGAACTTAAGTGGTTAACTCATGACTTCCACACATGGTGCATATTATGGTGCTATCCACATGTGCTGTCAAAGTGGTCCTTCTTCTAACCTGCATATGTAGCTGTTCGATGTTTTCAGAAGTCTGTTAACTCTGCCTTAAAAAAATCATACATCAGGGGCTGGCTCTGTGGCATAGTGGGTAATGCTACTGCCTCTGTACCGGCATCCTTTGTGGGAGTCCCCTTTCCAGCTCCCTTCTGGTGACCTGGGACAACACTCAAGATGGCCTAAGTCCTTAGGCCCATACACCTGTGTGGGAGACATGGAAGAGGCTTCTGGTTCCTGGCTTTGGACTAGCCCAGCCCCAGCAGTTTTGGGCCATTTGGGGAGTGAACCAGCAGCTGTTAAGACCTCTCTCTCTCTCTTTTAGTAACTCTGATTTTCAAGTAAATAAATGATTTATTTTTTTATTGGAAAGGCAGATATACAGAGAGGAGAGACAGAGAGGAAGATCTTCCTTCCGATGATTCACTCCCCAAGTGAGCGCAACGGCCGATACTATGCCGGTCCGAAGCCAGGAGCCTCTTCCTGGTCTCCCACGTGGGTGCAGGGTCCCAAAGCTTTGGGCTGTCCTCGACTGCTTTCCCGGACCACAGGCAGGGAGCTGGATGGGAAGCGGGGCTGCCGGGATTAGAACTGGCGCCCATATGGGATCCTGGGCGTGCAAGGTGAGGACCTTAACCACTTGCGCCACCACACCGGGCCCATAAATGAATTATTTTTAAAAATCATACATCAGAAGACAAATGATGAACTCTGAGGATATTGCAACACATTTGACAGACAGTAGGTTGATTTCCTTACACAAAAAGAATTTCTGTAAATCATTCACAGAAGACTAACAACTCAATAGGAAATAGGTCCAGAGTATCACACAGAAGAAACATCTGTGACTTTTCAGTAAGTACCAAGACACGCAGCTCTACTCAAAATAAGAGAAATTCAAAACACAGCTACACTGAGATGCCATTGTTACCTAGCAGACAAATGGGCAGACACCAGAAGTTTAGTAGCATACAACTTCAAGAAAGTATTTGGTGATGTTTAACAACAAGGTAACTACACACACCCTTTAACAGCTTCCTGCTCACAAATGAACTGGCCTGGGAATTGTAGGATGCCCTGTTAAATCTGCATTTCAGTTAAGCAACAGATACATTGTTTAAGGTTAACTATATCCCATGGAGCACACTGAAGTCTCTGATTGCTTCATCTGGCAGTGTGAGTGGCATCTGGAAGCCACTGGCTGTCCGACAATGTCTCTTCTCTGAGTCAGGGTTTCCTGACCTGTGAAATGAAGAAGAATGACCGAACTGGTCATGGCCTTGCGCTGAGGCTCAAACATTCTCTGGGGCTTTTGTGAACATGCAGTAAAAGCCAGAGGCAGTTGCTGTCAGTGTTTTCAGCAAACCCCAGTCTCCAAGGCAGACTGTTTACTGAAACTCTGCCTAACCATCTTCCAAATTTATCTTGAGTTTTATAAGCCTTAGAGACATAGAGTCACAAGTTTGTTTTCATACTTAAGGAGTAATACTGAAATAGATATTTGCAGAGGCTTCTGCTTCATTGTTTGTTGCTCTTAAACTTCTGCTTGTTGCTTTTGCTTTAAATTGTCTTTGGTTTTACCTTGTATTTGTTGAAAACCTAAGGTGTTTGAGACAGTGAAAAAAGGAGGGGCGGGGGGCATAAATCAAGTAGACACAGGCCCTTCCCCAGCTGGGCTAGGATCAAAGGAGGAGTGCAAGCAAATGGCAGGAGTGCTTCCCAAGCCTGCGTTGGCTTAGAGCCTCCTATGACATGTGCAGGCTGCCTTGCAGATCCAGCCATCCTCAGTGACACCAGTGTGTGTGTCCAGTCTGGGCTGGCTTAGAGCTTTCTGTGCCATGTGCAGGCTGCACTGCAGATCCAGCCATCCTCAGTGACACCAGTGTGTGTGTCCAGTCTGGTTGGCTTAGAGCCTTCTGTACTGTGTGCAGGCTGCACTGCAGATCCAGCCACCCTCAATGGTGTTAATACGAGTCCAAGATCGAGTACCACTGGACAAGGAGTAAGCAGCAGGTCAGCTCTTTTTTTATAAGCTGTCTTTCTGTATTTGTCTCATATTTACTTATCTGAAAGACAGAGAAGCAGACACAGTGATTGATTCCATTGCTAGCCCGCTCCCCAAGTGGCCCAATAACTGAAGCTGACCCAGGCTGAAGTCAGGATCCAGGAATTCCAGCCAGGTCTCCCCCATCGTGGCAGGGGCCCAAGGACATGGGGTCATCCCAGGCACAGAGAGCCAGGTGGGAAGCAAAGCAGCCAGGACATGAACCAACCCTCTGCTGTGGGATCCCAGTATCAAGATGTCAGCCTACTACAAGTGAGGACTCACAGGTCGAGCGGGAATCCTAAATTTGACCAAAGACCCAGACAGCTGGGCAAAATGGACCCGCATGACACAGAGGCTGGGCGCAGGCAGGCCACGTTTGAGACACAACTGCCTAAGCCATAAACTCTGACTTGGCAAGACATGCTGTCAAGAGAGCTTTGTTCACGGCACTCACTGAGAAGTCGAGACAACCACCAGTGAACAGACTCTGTAAGCCACACTCTGACTTTAGTTGGAGTTTCACCTTCAAGTGGAACTTTCTGTTCCCTCCTTCACATGCTGTGATAACCCGTTTTCTTTGGTAGATAGAGGTCCCTTGAGAATGAGTCCTTATTTCTCTGCCAGACATTGTGAGTTAGTCATTTTCATAGTGTGGGCCCCAAATCAGCACTTCTCAGAAATGTGGCTTCTTCTTAGCAGAGTAGCTTCTTAGAGCGGGCATTTAGCTGAGCAGCGAAGATGTCTACCTCAGAGTGCCTGAGTGCCTCGCTCCGGCTCCTGACTCCTGACTTCCCACCAGGCCATACCCTGGGATTTAGTGCTGATGTCTACCTCAGAGGACCTGAGTTTAATTCCTCGCTCCAGCTGACTCCTGACTTCCCACCAGGCCAGACCCTGGGATTTAGTGCTGATGGCTCAGGCACTTGGATGTCCATCTTGCAAATGGGAGAAGGTCTGGATTGAAGTAGTGGCTCCTGACTCCAGCCCCAGTCTGAGCTGCTGAGAGCACTTGGAGTATGAGCAAGAGAGAGACCAGGGAAACGTACCGTGGAAAATTGAGGAAATTAAGTTGGTATTCAATGTGAGTGTGGCCAGCATTCTCTTTGTTCCTTCTCCTCTTCTATGCCCTGAGCCCCAACGCTCTGCTTCCTCAGAGAAGGCATGGAGTACTCTCAATCCCATTCCATCCCCATGCTCTACCTACCTAGCGCCCTTTACTGTGGGTCTGTAGCAGACTGGGGAGAGAGGGATGGTGCTGACAGATTTTAATTCCACCTGAGTCACATCAAGAGCCCTTGCTTGGCGCTTTCACTTTACTGGTCCCACAACTCATAGATGCACAGGATGCATTTAGAGCAGAGCTGATTCCCTGGGGAGTGTTCTTGGCTCACAGGGCGTGATGGTGGTGCTGGGGTGGCAGTTGCTGCAAGAGCCAGATTTCTCCACCAAGGGTGCCTAGGTTGGCATCTGAGAGCAGTTGCTATTGCACTCAGTGGGTGGTTGCTATGTTAAGCAGATTGCCAGCTGGAGATCTAGATCTTGAAACCCAGCAACCAAAGCTTCCTGAAGACAATACCCTAACTGTGTCCCAAATGTGAAAATGGTCAGCAACATTGCAGCTGGCCTGTCAGCACCCACCACAGCAACAAGGATCTTGGCTGGATGGGCGTTGGGAGCAGTGTGGGCGGAGGGACTGAAGATTCATGCAAAACAAAGAGCCACTTCAGGGCCCTGAGCTCAGAGTTTAATGTGGGGGAACCCGCACACAAGGGCTAAATGGGCAGCCACAAAATCGAAGGCAAAAGGTTAAATACCATTCACAGATGTCTTTGAGGAAGCTTGAGAGCCTGCGTTCCAGACCGCAAGGCGTTCCCAAAGAACTTCAGGCCCTGGGACCACTCACTCAATGACCACGTGGGCTTGGAGGAGGCCAGTGCCTGGCTCCCTTTTTCATAAAAATGCTGATCCACATTCAGGAGAAGCTAGCAGCGTGTGGCCACCACCTGCCAATAGTGGGAAGATAGAAGGAGAGGGAAGGGGTTGGAAAGAGCAATATAGAGCAGGTAAGAGAAAGAAGAGGAGAGGGGGTGATGGGGATTAAAGAAGAAGGCAAAGAGAGGAGCTGGGAAGGAGGAGGACGGGGGCATAGCCAGGGACTGAGTGAGTGGAACATGTGTTGAGTGCCAGTCCAGGGCGGCCACTCCTAAGCCCCTCTGCTTTGCACCTGTTTTCTAATTAAGTCATCGGAGCTATCAGAATTGGTCACAGTAAAGTCTACAGAAGGGGGTTTATTCCTATTTTTAAAATAATGGCTTACAATGAACTTTCTCTGCCTAGCCCCTAAGATCCAAACTGGGATAAACCATACTGATTCATTCTACACTGACAATGTAAGCTATACACAGCCCGAACCACTAAATATAGGGAGTTATGGAAGGAGCCCATTAAGCCTATTGAATTATTCTGACTTGCATAGCCCTCAGCCTGTGAAGTCCTGTGTGTTCTGGAGGGAACCAGGGAGTTGAGTACAATGTGCTAAGTGGGCCTGGGGTGAGGTAATTAAAGGCAGCAGGTACTTGGCTTCTGTGCCCATAGTTAGTAGGAAGTGACGAGATTCTGGCAAAACGAAGACCACGTGCCACCCTCTAAAGAGAGCAACACTGCGCCAGCCCGACGTTGTCACGTGGGAAGGTGGCCTCAGCATCACCGCACTTTGCTCTATTCTCACGGGGCAGAGGCCTCATGTGGACTTCAGCGGGTTGACAAAAGGCGCTCGCAGGCCTTAAACAGAGTGTGTTTTTCCAATCTGAGAGCGGGTCACTTCCTCACCTGTGTTCCCTTCCGTTTCCAGGCCATTATGTTTACGTGGACGCCTCCTTTGCCAAGCAGGGGGAGAAAGCTGTGCTGCTCAGTGCAGACTTGCAGGCTGAGGAATGGAGCTGCCTCCGCCTGGTCTACCAGATAACCGCGTCGTCACAGCCTCAGTCGGAGCCCAGTCAGCTGAGCCTCTACGTGAGGCTTGAAGACGAAAACTTTGATCGCTTGCTTTGGTCGGCTAAGGAACCCTCGGATAGCTGGCTCATAGCCAGTCTGGATTTGCAAAACAGTCCCAAGAAATTCCAGGTAGGAGGCAGCTGTGGAGTTTATCACATGTGCTTTATGCTTATCTGGGGAAACTTGTGCTGTTGAAGTGAGCTGTGTCCGCATGGGGATGTGCTGTTTCATAGATGATTCATGGAAGAATACTAGCACTGTGAATTAATGGCTGTGTATTCAGAAGAGCCTCTTCAGAGGTTGTTTTTCTTTCCATTTAAATGGGATTTCTATAACAATCTAAATGGGCCTGAAACCAACCTCTTCACTGAAACTGGGTTTTCTATAGGTTCATGGGACTATTCTCATCTCCAATCATTTTTTTTTTTTGCATCCTTCTAAATTGTGTGGGGTATGTGTTTATGTTATCTTCCTAATGATTTATTTGAAAACTTTGTAATAAAACATTAGCTGCAATAAGGAAAACAATTAAAAAAAACTTTGACGGAGGAAAGATGCTAAAAGGGTATGTAGGGTAGGGAATGGGCGGTCGAGTGGGTTGTGGACTGCAGCAGGGGGCGAGGAAGGAGCTGGACAGTGTGGCCATGGGGCGATGTGCTCCAGCCCTCACTTACCTTCAGTTCCTGTCCCCTCTCTTCTTGGGAAAGTTTTGCTATATTGCACTCTCTCACCGCCCATCCTTAGCTCAGAGTCCCTCTGCAGTGGGCAGCAGTTGATGGAAGGACAGTCGGCATCTCAGTTTCCTGTTTCACAACGTCCTCGTAACAGTGATCACACCCTAAATCTGCAGCTTTTGTGCAAAGTATCAGGCTAAAACCACATCTGGGAAAGCTGTTACCCTCGGAAACCGGACCGTAAGGCACTGTAACGATCCTTGAACTCTGCCGCACATCCTCGTCCCTTATGTAGACATTCCAACATCTTCATCAGTGCTCACAGTCCTGTGATCTCCCACCATTTTGTCTGGCGTTTTCTGTCTGTTCCTCCCCCTGGGTCTGCTGCCTTCCACTCCTGAAAATTTCCTCAGGGCCACAAACTTTGCAGGCCATCTATGGTGAACAGTTAGTTCTTCCACATGCATTAGAGAAGGTGGTGCTGGGACGTAGCACAGATGTCTCTTAGCTCGTATTGGCGCCTTCCTCCACGTCAGAGTATACACCTGTGTGCTAATGCATACACACACGTGTGTACCCGGTGTGCTGGCACATGCCCGTCCATTTTATACAGTCCATAGGGAGGTTGGTTTCCAATATTAATTAGTGAAGACTCACAATCCTGGCTGTTGTAATTGCTGACAAGTTCCTAACTACTAACTGAAAGCTGAATCAAAGAGCTCTGCATTGAGAAGCCTCATTCTCCTTCTTCCCCATGTCTTCTGCAGATTTTAATAGAAGGAGTACTAGGACAAGGAAACACAGCCAGCATCGCACTGTTTGAAATCAAGATGACAACTGGCTACTGCATTGGTGAGTTTTTGTTGGATCAGACCGTGAATCTGCTTCTAAAGTTGACTGTTGCCAGAAGAAAGTGAATCAATCCTAAAGATCAAGTGTGTAGCAGAATAGGCAGTGGACAATGCTCAGTGGTTGGAATTCTTTGCTCGTCTCGCTTGAGTGCCGTTTGCGCTTCCGTCTTGAGCATCCGTCAGCATGACTCATTATCATGGGAGGTTCAGTTAGCCTTGCACTTGGACTGGCTAGATCACTGAAAGAAAGCATAACCTTAGAGCTGCTGCCCTCAGCATGTTCTCATCGAAACAGCTCCCACGTGGCTGTGGGCGTGGCTTTCTACAGTGTTTGCCAGGACGGCCAGCCTTGTGGAACCCCTTTCCTTTGTTCTGCTCTTGGCCTGCCGCAGCCCCTTCTTAGTGGCAGTTATCACTGCTACTCCACCTGAGCTGGGTTAGCTGGGCGTGTCTTCTGTTCCAGGCCAATGGCTGCCCACCTTCTACTTGCCTGACACTGAAGTGTTTCTACAATACCAGGCTACTTCAAAAACTTCAAAGAAAACAGACTTAAAAGATATGCATTTTTGGTGCAGAAAAAAAAATTGATACCCATGCATGTTTGTAGTGAGCATTGAAAGTGGCTAAAGAGAAAGGGGACGGGGAGTTGAGTGTAAGTGAGAGAAAACGGCTGGAAAGTGGGTACTTCCTGAGATAAGGGGTCTTCACGCTCCGTTTCTAGACTTCCAGCCAGCCTGAGTCCACGTGGCATGTGCATGTGGCATGCACACCACACAGCTGACCTCTCAGCAATCGCTGAGCCCTCACCCTCTGTCTGATTGCAAAATGCTTCCCTCGCTGGCTTCTCCTGATGACAACATATCATAAACATAAAGGTAGTGGTCTGGTGCTGGGCCTCGAAGACATCCTAATTGCCTTTTTCCAAATGATTTGGAGACTTTGGCTTCTGATTTGTTTATAACAACAGAAGCACTCATATTTCTGTGTTTAGACTCTGTGATGTTGCCTCTCTCTTGCTGGGCACTTTTTCTACTTCTATTTTTAATCTGCCAATATGGTTAGCAATAGCACGTACCTCTTGAGGCTGTTTTGAAGATGAAGCGAGTTAATTCATAGAATGTTTCCAGAGGACTGCTTGGAGCATTGAATAATGGTTTGCTTTTTAATATCTCCTGTACCAGCCATCGGTGCTGCAAATTGAGCACTGGTTAGCACATACTGCAGTGGAAAAAGTGGAAATGAATGCCTTGAGACTTTCCATTGCTTGCTAAATGCCAGAGCACGCTGTTAACTGTGCCCATTGGTATCCTGGCGGGATGGTAGCAACAGGGCACTCTACCTGAGTGATGTGAGGAGAGCTCATGAAATCACTATGAAGGTGTGAGTGGTAAAAGAAAGCTTCAAGGGATAGCACCGTGACCAGGCCAGTACAAGTATGAGTTTTCAGAACTTGGAGATAGTCACTTGGAAGGCTGCTTGGATAAGAGCTGTTTTCTGAGTCAAGAGACACACCAGCCTACCGTGACCAGCAGGGATGGAGCCAGAGGAGGAAGTCCCTGATGCCACCCTGCTTCTATCCTGCTTTGGCCAAACCCAGCAGGAAGCTGGAAGTCAGGAGGACCCTTTGATGCAGTCCCTACAGGGCAACCTCTGGGGGTAATGCGGGTGCAGAGGGCAGGGCGGTGCTCCAGGGGCCAGCAGTGAATGCCATGCACCGGCACCTCTTCCTATTTTTAATTTCAGAGTTATGCAGGTGCGTGGTGGGTCTGGTTTATGAGTTTCTTCTTCCCACTAACAAGAGTTTGTGGGTGGGAACAATGTGTTGGTACAGCCGTGGCATTGCCACTTGAAGGAGAAAAGGCCTCTTTTGCTTCTCTTCTCAGTAGCTGCAGAAGGGGCCCATGTCCTTGCCTTCCTGGCCTACCCCTGACTGGGCTCTGGGCTATGAGAAGCATGGGGTCCTAGCCTCCAGGAATTGTTTCTCAACCTAGGGCCTCTGCTCCCTATTGGGGAAGCAGTGTTACGTGCTGCCCCACAGTGCTGGCCCTATGAGTTTAGATCTTGATGCCTTGCAGAAGTTGTCTCTCTTCTTGACCTGCATAGTGGGCAAGGAAGAGACAGGGGGCAGTCCCAAGGGGTAACTGTGCCTCCATGACACGGAGTTTTTCATCTCTCCCACCAGAATGCGACTTTGAAGAAAACCATCTGTGTGGCTTTGTGAACCGCTGGAACCCCAACGTGAACTGGTTTGTTGGGGGAGGAAACATCCGCAGCTCTCACTCGGCCCTCCCACAGGATCACACCTTCCAGAGCGAGCTGGGTGAGTAGGGAATGTGCGGGAGATGCAGGGGCACGTGAAGTCCTTCTCCCAGGGTGAATGCCTCTGCTGTCTCTTCCCACCCCCTCCGTGGACCTGGACCTCTGTCAACATGGGAGGAGGATGGTGAGAGTGGGGGCAAGACAGCAAACAGGTGTGAGGCAGTAACACGGGAGAAGGCCACGCCGTTAAGAGCGTCACTTCTGACCGGGGTTTGCAGGGTTCACATTGCTGCGTTACGCTTTCTTTTCTTGTTTCTTGTCTGCGAAGACAAGATTGGAGTGTTTCCCTAAAAGCGGGTTGAACTACAGGAGCAAGTGTTGAAAAGCCTCTCCAGCCATGATTAATTCTGAATATTGTGTGCAGCGCGGCCCTCTTGTGGCTGAGTCAGCTGGCTCACTGCAAGGAAAGTGGAACCCTGGGGTTGAGTGAGTTGATTGACAATTTAGGATAAAAGCTTCCGCAGAAGGGAAGCAGGGACCCTTTCTTGTCTTGTGGGATTTCAACTGTCTCACCTAGTGTGGGTAGACTTTCTAAAAACCTAGGTCGCCCTTACGTGTAACACAGTCTCAACTCCAAGGTCTTCTCCAAGGAGTGAGAAGATTCTAAGTAGCTGATTTTCCAACAAGAGCAAGAATTTGTCCTGGTTCCCTTCTGGGCCATTCCGTGTGGATGCTGAAGAGACTGTATTAGCTCTGCATGACTACAGCAAATTATCTGAGACAACTAGACTTTTTTATAAAGAGAAAATATTCATGCAACTCCCAGTTTAGGAAGTTCAAGTCCCAGGTCAGACCAACAATCTCATTGGCTTGGCATCTTGTGAAGGCAGCAGATGGTGACGGCGGAGTGTGTGCAGAGAAAGGGACACACTAGGAGTGGCTGTGCTCATGCTTTGACACCAGCACTGTAAGAGGGCACGTTCCAGTGGGCCGAGGGCCTCCCTCCAGGCACCGTGGATGCCTTCATGGGGTTTCTGGCATGAGAGTTGTTGACTCCTGACTTTGAGGCTTAAAATCCTGCAGATAAAGGTGGCCTCCTCAGTATCCCCAAACATGAGGGCTTGATAACCTGTTTCATTACATGCACCCTCATTCACTGTAGATTCTCTTTATCTGAATGTTTTTTAGCCCTGTCTCCACATTTTTTTTCTCTAACCTTCCTGTAGTTCCCCTTTCCACTGGACAGTCTTCAATGTGGTCTTTTCTCTTTCCTGCTATTCTCTTTATATTGGCAGTCTCAGACTCAGTTTCCTAGGGGCCCAGCCAGATTGCATAAAGCAGAGACAGGTGGGCTGGGGGAGGACTGTGGTCAGGGTGAGAGCATGGACTTTATGCGTAGATTGCTGTCCTGCAGAGGGCTGCTGTCGTGTGAGAATGCAAGCACAGGTGCCCAGAGATTTTGTGAGAAGCTTTTCATATTGTTAAAAGTTAGTGAATATTTCCTGAAACCCATTATTTGGGTCTGCTAACCACATCTGCAGATCAGACCCATTTATCCGAACCTCTGGTTTGTAGACTTTGTTTTGTGGTTGTTGTAGTTGTTCCTTTCATGTCAACCGGCCACGTCAAGTCGAACAAAATACTTAAAAGTGATTACGTATAAACCCCTAGAGTGTTATGGACTGATGCGTTGAGGACAAATCTAACTTAGGCTCTAGCATTTTCATTTGTCTGCTCTGGTGTTAGATATGAGGAGGAAAATGTTGGTTATTACAAGGATTTCCCAGGGCTGACCATGTGGTATGGTGCGTAAAGTTGCCACCATGAGGCCAGCATGCCAGATGTAAGATTCTCTGCTTGCAGCCTAGCTCCATGCTAATAATGTACCTGGGAGAGCAGCATAAGATTGTCCAAGTGCTTGGGCACCTGCTGCCAATGTGGGAGACCCAAATGAAGCTCCAAGCTCTTGGCGTCAGCGTGGCTCAGCCCCAGCCATTGTGTTCATCGGGGGAGTGAACCAGCAGATGGAAGCTCCAAGCTCCTGGCTCAGCCCTGGCCATTGTGTTCATCGGGGGAGTGAGCCAGCAGATGGAAGCTCCAAGCTCCTGGCGTCAGCATGGCTCAGCCCCGGCCATTGTGTCCATCAGGGGAGTGAACCAGCAGATGGAAGATGTCCCTCCTTCTCTGTCAAGTAACCATGACTTTCAAACTAAATAAATAAATCTTGAAAAAAATCTGAGGTTTCTGTGGTTGATACCCAGTTTCTGGGAACACATATTCAGGGAAAAGAAAAGGATTTCTCTCACAAACAGATGTGACACAAGGCAGTGTGTTCCAAGTGCCAAACAAGCAGCTCCCTTTCAAGTCCACCCCAGAAAGACAGCTGCTAGGACTCCAAGACGAAACAGCTGACTTACTGCTCTTGAATGATGACATGACTGCGACTGGCAGAGTCAAAAGAGAGCAGGAACAGAGGTGGCAAATCCAAGAAACAAGTGGAGGAGAGCTGGTTGAGGAAGCAGTCGAGAAGGCCTTGAATGCCAGCCGAGAGACTTCGCTTTCTGTTACTGAGAGACCGCTGCAGGTCTTGCACATGAGACACTACTGCAGTGTGTATTTATGTCGGCCAAACTCACAGTGGTAAGCTCGAGAGGTGGAGGACAAAAGTGTAGAGCAAGAATGCTTTGGGAACTGTTTGTTTAGATTCATCTGGAGTCACTAAGTTGGGAACAAAGACAAGTAGAAGAACAAACGTTTCACTTCCTATTTTTAAAAGTTAAGTTTAGCACTTTGGACAATGACACAAGGTTGCAGTTTCCCTATGCATACACCATATTTTGGCTGCAAAACTGCATGACCCATCTCCTCTCGTGGTTACTGTAAAAGCCACAAATGAGTGTTTTGTGTAGGTCAAGGACATCCAGATGTGGCAGAGTGATCCTTGAATCTGCACAAGTGTTTTAAGACAGTTGAGTTAATTGAATGCAATGAAGTGCCACCACCTCTGAAAGTCCTTATTTAAATAAATAAAGCAACCAACACTCTTGGGATTTTACAAAACACAAGACAGGTGACTGTTCCTTCATTTAGGGAAATAGGCTAGTTTTGAAATCGTTTTCCTGTCAATCTGAAGGATTCAGTAGGTGGAATTCAAAGACTCTTGAAAGGCCAGTGCAATAAAATTGCAGTATTCCTTGGTGTCATTATCATAGCTACTCAAAGGGTCAGACACGTATGAGGGGATGTTAGAAAACTTTTCCCAAATACTTGAAAATTAGCATCCGGCTTGGGGTTCCTTGTTCAGTGCATCAGGTCTTCATCCTTGAGGAGAGACCCAGTTGGCTGGGAAACCCCAGCATTTCCTAGGAGAGGCAGCAGACTCATGGACTGGTGTGGGGCCATCACACCTGATTGGTTCCCTAGGTAACAGCACCCTGTTCCTTCCCACTCTCATCAGTGACTATAGACTGTCCTGGCTGTATCTGTGAAGAGCTTCAGAGAGGAGTCAGAACACTTGGGAGTGATCCCTTGGCATAGCAGGGGCTCCCTGGAGCTGTTTGCAAATGTAAAAGGACTTTGAGTTCTTCTCGCTTTGCCTAATGCTCTACATCAGATTTGCCAAATTCCTCTCTCGCTAGATCTTTCTCAAAAATGTTTGAGTTCCTCCTGAATATGTATAAATACACTGCAATTGGTAAGAACAAAGAGAGAGAGCTGAAGGGACTCAGGGGCAAGAAAAAAAGAGTTGGCTTGTGTAATATTCTGGCCAGAAGAACCAACAGGCATTGTGGTGTGGTCATCCCTGAGAAGCACCTGCTAGAAAGCTGTCACTCCTGTCACAGGCACTTACTTGTCAGTGTTTTCATCACCTACTCCGCTATTCCCTCCTTTCTCTGCATTTTCCCATCCTCTCTCTTCTTCCTTGGTTATTCTCTCAAACATCTTCCAAAGGTGAGCACTTTTGCCCACCAGCCTTATTGTGTTCCCTGACAGCAATACTGAAGGCTAATGCAGAAGTTGACCCTAAAACTAAAGAGAGGCATTTTAAATAGAGCTTCTTCCTCTCCTACCAAGAGATGACACAGTCACTCCCATCAGAATGAAACATCTTCGTGGGTCGCTCACTTGTTCACTCACCCATCCATTCAAAAATGCATGATAAGCATTTTGTATATGTCAGGCATTCTTGTCTACCCTCCTGATACAAAAATGTCACTGACCTTGAAGAAATTGTAAGAATCAGCTTTTCCCAAATACTGCCCTCCAGAATTCCAGTTCTCTAATTATTATCTTCATATGGGGAAAGAAGGGTGCTGTGTGATAAGATATGCCAGGAAATCCTGGAGTCAAAGAAACATAAATAGCTTTCTTAATTTCAGGACTCCTCACTTCATTTAATGTAGTTCTGTATTAATATGTGTTCTAGTATTTCTCAAATGCTACATAAAACATGTTGAGATGTACTAGGTCTTCCCCCTGGACAGCATGGGGCTTTAAAAAGATGTGTTGTAAAAATTCTAAGGCGTTTTATTTGAAGAGCTCCACCCATATAAATCAAAGGTTTGCCTAAGATTGCTCTTGAAAAGAAAAAAAGAACTGTAACATTCTAAAATAAATATTTTTTTAAAAAAAAAAAGAGTTTGCTTCTGTTAACGCCTTTGCCTTCTACATATTGATTCTCCATGAACTCTATCCATTTTTGTGGCAAAACAAAGATTAAATGGTTCAGAGATCTGCCTACAGCAGCAGCATGAACTCATCTCTCATGCATTTGTATAATGGAAGCAGCTATGCGTTTGCAGGGCAGGGATGAGGGGAGGTCGCTGGGTACCGGCCCGGAAATGAGATGTGGGATGCCCTCCCAGGAAGATGCTGGCCTTTGTGGTGCAGGTAACGCAGCAGTGAGTGTAACGGTCTAGACGGGAGTGTTCCTGCGTGTGTTTGTATGGTTTTCACAGTTTGCCCTGGCTGGCGAGACGGGACTTTAAGGTGAGGAATTAAATCTTGCCTAATGAAGGCAGTGACTGAAACAGTGCCGAGAGAGCAGTGGTGGGACTTTTCTGGAATCCTGCAGGGGATGAACTTTGCCCTGTTGTTGTCTTCCTTGATTCTGATTCATCATGCATGAGCTTTTTGCGCTGTTAATATTTAATGAAGTGGAACAGAATCTTTCAGGAGGTAACCTGACAGCTCACATCATTCCCGTTTTTTCCACACCTGAGCAGAAGAAGATGAGGGTTAGACGGATAATGAGAGCAGTTCATGTCTGTGCTGAGACGTTGAAGATCAGGTGTGTTTGTGGTACTACTCTGGCAGGAACTGGACAGGACGGCAAGAACTAAAACAAGGTCGGGATTATTTTATTCCTCCCAGGACCGTGAGATGATGGATCGTATCTCTAGACAGCCTTGTCCTTTGCTGCAGGTCAACTTCAAGTACCACCTTAACAACTTCTGCTCATTCCGCCTTGGGACTGAATCATTTGACTCATGACCCAAACACCACGTAGCAAAGCAGCTTTATTAATTGTCTTCTGCTTGCTGTTATATGGTCTCTGCTGGGTCTCCTGTCCCCACACTTGGGTGACTGCTTTCTAGTCATTTCCAGGTATGTAAATACCTTCAGGTTCAAGGTAAAAGTTCAGGGAATCATCTTGCCCCAGGCCAGACCAGCAGCAGCAGCAGAAGAGAAACCGTGCACTTTGTCTCCCCCTGCGTCTTGATGTCGTTTGCATCGGCTGCTTCTGGCTCCCTCTGCGCCGGGAAGGCTGCCTGGGGATGGGACGGAAAGGGAAAGGCTGGACACTGCAATTGCAACTGTGTAATCTGCATACCACAGGTGGACACATTCTGGCTGGCCAACTAAGGGGCTTGAAAACCCCTTAGTGCTACTAAGCAGTGGTGCCCAGCAACAGCCACTTCTCTTTTTGGGTTTACTGTGCTGGCAGGCAGCCCCTTGAGAAGAGTTCCTTTGAAGGCACTGTAGCCCAACCACCTTTTAAACTGCCTGGCTAGCTGAAGAGGAAACTCGACATACCTCTTCAAAACTCACATCTCCTAGGCAACCATCCTTCCTGTCCACATTCCTCCCATGGTTCCTTCCAGTCAGCTCTTGCCTTGAGATGCCTACAGTCAAATGTCAGGTGGTAGTCTGTACTGAGCAGACTCTTGCTGTCACTGATCCTGCCCTCTCCTAAGCTGCAAGGTGCAAGGCAGTTGCAGAACCCAGGAACTTCTGCACTAAGGGAGAGCATGCGGTTAGGTGGCAGATTCACTCACCTGCCCTTTCCACAGTGACTTCCTTTAGCTTCTCTCTGGCTCAAGGCAAGAAAGGGGAAGACATCGCTCTTCACTTGAGAAGCCAAAAGGAAACACATAGAAAGCCACCTCTCTGTCTCACTAAAATATTTAAATAAAATTTTTAAAGTGGAAAAAAATCTGATCAATTCTTAATCTCCTGGGAAATATAAAGTCTTCATGTGTAGGTTTTTTCAAAGTTTTAATGCTTTAAAATCTCTTCACCCTGAAGGGTCCTTCATGATTTGGTGACTGTCAAATCCTGCTGAGCACAGTCATTCTGCTCAGACTGAAGGACCAGTTTCCTCTCCTAGAAGGCCTGGAAGGGCCAGACTGGAGCAGACTCACTGCGCTGGGCTGTGAGTTGCTCATAACACCAGGTACTGTGGGTGTCTCCTCCGGTCCTCTTTATTCTCTTTGGAAAGGAGCATAGGTGGCACCTACATTCACCCAGCCACTGGCTCCCCTTTTTCAGTGGGATTGTTCCCAGTGACACTCAGCCTGGTCTGAGTTAGAGTTTCTGAATCATCCCTACTGCTTCAGGTGAGATGATAAACTGAAGCAACCTCGAGTTTACTAAGGAGAAGCTAAATGTTGCTCCTTCTATCGGTCAGGAGTGCCCAGTTTTGGCAGCAAATGAACGGTGCCTAGGGAAGGGTGGGGACGGCGTGCGGTCTAGCCTGTGGCCCCATGCGAGATGTGGCACCAGCAGTCTCCAGCTGATTCCCAGCAGCCGCTCTGACTCACGTTGGGCAGGTCACATTGTGTTTGCTGTGTGCTTTCTGGGTCAGAAATGTGGCTGTGGCTAGCTTGGCCCAGCCCTTTGTGCCTGAGCTGTTAAATGTGGCATTTCTGCTGCAAATGCACAGATTAGAATATTCTCTGCCCAGCAAGTGAGGACATACCTTGTAGCCAAGACTGTCAAATGCTTGGTGGCTGCAACGAAGAGACATTTATAGTGGAGACGGGTGTGAGTTCTCCAGGTCAAACATAGTTATGCATTCCCTGTTTGTTTGGGAAATTCCTTAGGTTCACTGAGAATTTTCCAGAATCCTTGGAGACAGTCTAACTCCTCTAGGCTCTATCAGCTTGAGCTCTCAATAAACAAAAACTAACCTGGGACTAGCTGGAGTGGGAATTGTCGGGGAGAATGGGTTTCTAGGTCTGAGGAAGAAGCAGCCGCGTAGTTAAGAATGGGCTCCACATACTCATTGGGCACTGTGGACACTGCGTATAGAGCCTGGGGAGTTCTAGAAGGTCTGTGAGGCTGTTTTTTTATTCTGTTTACTTTCAACAGCAGGAGGAAAAACATCCATACTAACAAACACAAACTCTAGCCAAAGTGGCATTCATGTTTATACCAGTGCAGTTGTAAATGAAAACGTGCAGTGTCTTATGGGGGGAAGAGGTGCTGAGAGCCCATGAACGTTGAAACGTGAGCCCGGGGCGAGCGTGTTCAAGTGCAGGCTGAGAACCCATGAACGAATTGAGAGGATGACAAGTTGGCCCTCCATGTTCACTGGCTCCAGGTCAAGAGTGCAACCACTACGGATTGCAAAAGGTTAGACAGGCCAGGTGTTGTAGCTCAGCAAGTTAAGTTGCTTTCAGTGCTTGTATGTTGCAACAGAGCGTCTGAGACCAGTTCACAGCTCTACTTCCTACGTAGCTGATGTGCCTAGGAGGCAGAACGTGATGGCCCAGGTGCTCAGGTTCCTGTTAGCCACGTAGGATCCCAAACCGAGTTTCTAGCTCACAGCTTAACCTTCTAAGCCTAGCCTAACCCTCGGTGTTACAGGCATTTAGGGAGTGAACCTGCAAAATGCAAGATTCTTCCTCTCATTCCACCTCTGTATGTGTGTGTGAGCCTGCCTTTTGAATAAGTAAATATTTTTTAAAGAAGAAAGCAATTTGGAGAAGAAACCTATGTCTATACTAAGCAGATACAGATTTTATTAGTCCCTAAATAATTCCAGGTAATGCCAGTTCATACAGTGCATACAATTATTAGGAATGATTGGAAGTATACAGAAGGACATGTGTATGTCATAGGTAGACACTGCCCCATGTTGCATAAGAGACTTGGGCCTCTGTAGATGTGAGAGGCCACGGGCAGTCCTTGAACCAATCGCCCACAGACATGGAGGGGTAGCTGTCTTTGAGTCTCACTCCAGAGATGAGGACATTGAGTTCCAAGTAAACACAGTAACTTGTCCAAAGTCATAGAGCTGGTGGGACTGGAGCAGGATGCAAGCTCAGCTCCCTTCCCACACTTTTTCCCATTCTGCTACACAGTATTTCTGTTCTAACTGGCTGCCTCCAGCGGAAGTCAAGAGGCCAAGAGGGCCTGCCAGGAGTAGTGTCACAAGTTCAGATTTCAACTCTGCAGGGCCAGTTACCCTAGATGTTCTGTTAACAATGTGCAAATTGCCAAAGTGCAAAGCGTGACCTTTGCATGCCATGTAAAGATGTCCGGCATAGGGGATATCTTCTGCCCTTTGGGTAACCCATGGAGAGTTCATTTGCCATGCCCTTGGACATGAATAACTCAAAGACGGCGTGGGAAGGCGGCTTCTCAGGTGGTGCTGTTTCCGTGCAGGGGTGTGTTCAGCCTGTGAAAACATCAGGCACATTGCAAATGACACCTCTGCCTTTCTGTGTATTTACTTTTGGGCAAAAAGAGTGGATCTCATCTTGTATTTCATTAGTGAACCCCAGGTCCCGTCTCATCTCCCACCTGTAGTATTTGTCTACTCTCAGCCAGACTCCTTCCACAGCTCCCGCTGGACTGAGTGGGAGCCCACCCGACTCTCGCTGTGTTTCCGCCTGCCAGCCCTGCCTGTGTTACAGTCTTCTGCTTGTGTCATTTCCAGGCCACTACATGTACGTGGACTCAGTGTACGTGAAGCACTTCCAGGAGGTGGCGCAGCTCATCTCGCCGATGACTATGGCACCCATGTCCGGGTGCCTGTCCTTCTATTACCAGCTGCAGCAGGGCAATGACAATGTCTTCTCCCTGTACACTCGGGATGGGTCTGGCCTCTATGAGGAGATCTGGAAAATGGACACTCCGGGGAGTGCCACCTGGAACCTGGCGGAGGTTGAGTTCAGCGCCCCCTACCCCATGGAGGTAGGTGTGCAGGGGCCCAGCGGGGTTCTGCCTGGCCCACCTGCAGGTATGGGGGGGTCAGGACATTGTCTCTCCTCACATTCAATTTCTCTTTTCTGGACTTTGAGCATTTTTTTAAAGATAGGCATATTTAGAATTTAAAAAATAACTTTTAAACAAACAAAAATATTGTGCACAATTATGGGGTGCTATGTAATGTTTTGATGCATGTACATTTTATGTGATGATTAAATCAGGTTGATTAGCTTATCCGTCACCTCTACATTTATTATTTCTTCATACAACAGCCAGAGTTGAGCCAGTCCCAAACCCAGGAATCGGGAACTCAACCCGAGGCTCCCCCATGGGTGCGAGGAAGCCGACTACCTGAGCCACCACCGTGGGCACCTGCCAGGGTGGCATTAGCAGGGACTTGGAGTCAGGAACAGGAGCCAAGCACTGAACCAGCCACTGTGACACAGGTGTCTCCATGGCTGGGCTAGAAACCTGCCCCGGCCTCACGCTGTGACTGTAATCAGGCTACTGTGCAGCAGGACAGCAGATCCAACTGCTGCTATCCAAGGGTGATTTGTCCCTATTCAAGGTCTCCCCCTTACCCTTCCATACCTTCTGTGCCCTCTGTCTTAATGCTTCCTCGCTATCTCTTCAGTCTTCCTTCCTGGTCATCTTCATGTTCTAGCAAGAGTAGTTTTTATGGGAATGAGCATGAAAGAACCCAGTGAGCCAACAAGCATTGTTAGGTAACTCTCCCTCTGAACCTTGCACTGTGCTGGCAGAGATCAGAGCAAAGGAGCTTCAAATCCCTGAGCCTCAAATCACCCCTGTTCTTCCAGGGCTGGGGGGCAGCTCTGAGGTTACTCCTGGGGGTTCTTCCAGGCCTTGGGGGCAGCCCTGAGGTTACCCCTGGGGGCTCTTCCAGGCCTGGGGGCAGCTCTGAGGTTACCCCTATTCTTCCAGGCCTGGGGGGCAGCTCTGAGGTTACCCCTGGGGGCTCTTCCAGGCCTGGGGGCAGCTCTGAGGTTACCCCTCTTTTGGGGAATTATCTAGCTTCAAGGGAAGAACTTGAGCTCATTCTTGTCAGGATAAACATTGGAAAATCAGAGGTAAAGTTTTCTATGATGGTCCTAATGTTAGCCAGAGTATACTGCTTTGGTTTTAGACGAGTTAAAGTTATGTAAGTGGTAAATGACCCATGCCCAAAGAATTAGAAAAATCAGAGAAATCAATTCAAAGACCGTGGGCCAAGCCAGCAAGGATGAGCACTGATAACACTTATTTGTGCTTGTAAGCCCTTTGCTGAGCACCTGTGCTGACACGCATCTGCATCTGCATCTGTGTATGTTTCAGCACTGACTATCCAACAATCAGAGTAAAATCATCCTCATGCTTACAGATGAGGAAGGAGAAGACAGAGCGTACAAGGAGTTCCACGTCTTTTTTTCTAGGTCACACAGCTGGTCCATGTAGAGAGCTTAGGAAAGTTCCTGGACTGAAATATGACTGCGGCTGGAGGAGGAGACGCAGCTCTGTCTGCAGCCCCTGCAGCCCCGGGAGCCTCAGGGGAGCAGCCCTGTGCTTGCTCTAGGTGCCAGATCACTTCAGGTCCTCGAAGCTGCACGCAGGCTCTCAGCCTCCATGAGTTATTAGCACCGCACTTCCCGCGTTGCACTTTCTGCAGCACCTTCCCCAGTTTCCTTTCAAAGTGCAGATGAAGCAGAGGGCGCCTCTGGCGGCCTTTCAGTGATGCCACCTGGGGGCCTGATATGGAAGCGCGGAGAAGACAGGAGCTGGGTCTCGGTTTCCCAGCTGTCCCATCTAAGGATGGTGTGCCTGCCACTCCTTGCACTCCATCTCTATTTTCCTCCTCACCCCCTCTGCTCCCCAGCCATCCCAGAAAGAGCAGATCGCCTTGTTACAGAATGTGTGCAATTTCCTATTCCAAAGTCTGGCCTTCATTGGCTCTTTCAGTCCAGTGGGAAGTTTTGCAAGTTTGGGTTGCAAGGAGAAAAAGAATGCACACAGCACTTCAGAAAGTTTTCCTTTTATTAAAATGAAATGAGTCACACACATGCACCATGAAAGCGCTTCCTTTGCCAATGCTTTTTGGGCAGCCATAACTTCCTGGGCAGCCTTTATATGAATGCAGCCTCACGAATGTTTTGAAATCAGCTCTTGAGCAGTAATTGTGTACTGAGCCCCGGGATGTGTCTCTTGGGTCTACACAAATGTGGTTTTGCTCTTCCAGTTTGAATCCAGTTGCTGTGTGTTGTGAACTGGAAGGAAAAATACCTTTTTCTACAAACATCAGTTAATTTAATGTCACCATATTCTGAAATGAATTTTTAAAAAGGGAAATGAATGCTGCAGACTTAGCTTCTGAGCAAGAGAGAATGCGTTGGTCCGTGGACTGTAATTACCATGTCCCAAGTAGAAATACTTGCATTTTTATGCCCCTGCCCTGTGTGAATTGAATTCTGGCATTCAGGCCTATCAACCAGCATGCGGAGAACTCAGTGTCATGGGCCTGTGTCAACTTGGTGAACCTAATCGACTCTTCTGCATTCACAGACCAGCCACCTGCTCCTGGCCGGAGACGCTTCCAGGGCTCGCAAGGAGAAATCAAGTTCCAGGTTCCTGTGGGGCATTTTGTTAAAAATGAAAGGGACCTTAGGAACAGTCAGACTTTCGTTTTCCAACACTTCAAAAATCTGAAGCCTAAAGGCCAGCTTCATAGTGTAGAAGACCAAGCTTCTACCTGTGGTGCCAGCATTGTATCCTGAGGCTCCACGTTCAGTCCCACTCTGTGCTTGGGGCCTGGAAAGACATCTGAGGACCAGCCAAGTCCTTGGGCACCTGCATCGTATGGGAGGCCCTGAAGAGGCTCCTGGCTCCTTGCTTCAGTTCTGCTCAGTTCTACCTATTGTGATCATTTGAGGAATCAACCAGTGCATGGAATATCTCTGTTTCTTTCTCTCTGAATTTCTTTTAAAGATTTATCTATTTTTCTTTCTCTCTGTGACTTTATTTTGAAGATTTATTTATTTTTACTGGGAAGGCAGATCTACAGAGAGAGAGAAGGAGAGAGGGAGAGATCTTCCATCCACTGGTTCACTCCCCAAGTGACTGCAGTGGCTGGAGCTGAGCTGACCCAAAGCCAGGAGCCAGGAGCTTCCTCTGGGTCTCCCACACTGGTGAGGGTCCCAAGGTTTTGGGCCATCCTCCACTGCTTTCTCAGGTCACAAGCAGGGAGCTGGATGGGAAGTAGAACAGCTGGAACACAAACCAGGGCCCATATCGGATCTCAGAGCATGCAAGGCAAGGATCTATCCACTAAGCTGTTACATAGGATCCCAAATAAATCTTTGAAACTTTCTCTCTCTTTTTTTTAAAGAATATTAAGCATAAAATCTGAAGCCTAGGAAGAGAAGGGGCCCTTTCAAGATAATTGCTGGCTAGCTGGACTTGAACCAGAGTGTGCGTCACAAGAATTAACCTGGAAAAGAAGATAGGAAATTAGTTACGAGCTTTTAGGGACGTGAGGATTTCTGCCTCCCTTATTTAATCTCCTCAGTGTGGTCTTGCCAGCTCGGTGATCCCATGCCTGTTGCACAGGGAAGAAAATCAAGATTCTGAGAGGATTATTGAGGTACCCATGGTTGCCTAGCCAGTAAGTGATCAAAGTGTGATTTAATTCTCATTTGGCTATATCCAAGGTGTTATTCTTTTCTGATATCTTATACAGCCCACAGTGATTTTCTGGCTGCCAGTTTTTTGCTCGGTTGTTCTAATTTTTGAATTAATTGGAAGCATTGAGAAAGCAAAAAGACCTCAAATAAGATCTGGAGACCCAGATCCCCTTGCCCACGTGTGAGAGCAGAGATGCGTGCCCTGTGCTTGCATGCTGTGTCTGCCATGACACAGTAACAGCAAACAGGCAGCTGCTGAAGTTCAGGACCCCGAGTCAGAGGCCAGCAGCCCAAGATGAAGGCATTGCCTGATTTCTACTTCTGTGAAAGAGGCTTTGTTCATGCCTCTGCCCTCCTCCCGATCATTTCCAGACTGCTAGATCTGCAACCTCTTCATGGTGTGCTCTCGTGTGCCTGTCTCCCTCTGCCACCAAATCTCCCATATGGAATGGGAAGCAGATGCCAGTTTGACCTTGTCTTAACTAGGGACGTTTGCAATGAGATTATTCCCAAATAAGATCACTTGCTGAATTATTGGAGGCTGGCACTTCAACTTGAGAGTTTAAGGGGGACACGGTTCGCTCTGCAGTAGCCCTGACTCCCTGTGTAGCTGAGTATCAGCTGTCCCGTTTAGACAGGGCTTGACCGCTCCGTGTCACGGCAGTCTGTGCCATGGCACTCCATGTGTGTATGCCACCGCCTGGCCCTTGTAGGCCTCTGAGTTTCCAGTCCGGCGCTGCACTGTGTCTTCTCATGCTGTCAAGTCGCAGAGGGGACTGCACACCTAGGTGCTTTCCCATCACAGGGGAAGACTGTGCTGACTGCACCGTATCCAACATGGTCACAGGTAGGAAAGAGGAAACTGAGCTCGTGTGGAGTCAATAGCGGGAGCTGAATGTGCTAATCCGTCCTTTCTGACCACCAAACACATCTACACTTTGTGAGGTTAGGGCTGTCAACTCTGACCACTGCCTGGCCCAGGGCCTCAGGTGCAGGTCCACTAGGTAGAAGGGAAAGGGACACCCAGGGTTGGCTGCTTGAGGCCAGTATGGTAAAAAACCTGACCTTTTTCTGTCTACCCTAATTTCCCTTACATCAACATTCATAATGCTGACTAATTGCATGGTTCCTTCAGAAGTGGCATGCATACCAGCTGATGCTCTAAGGGAGACCAGGGAAACACAAATTCAAGGATTCTATGCAAGTCCATTTAACCAGTTTTGCCAAATGTCATAAACTGGATTGCTTAGAAACAGAGCTTTCCTTCTCAGCTCTGGGTGCTGTTGGTTCTAGCTCAAAGCATGCACAGATGTAGTGTCCAGGGAAGGCCCGGTGCTGGCTCGCAGATGACACCTTCTCTCTGTGGTTTGTCTCCACGTGGCAGAATGGACAAACCAGCTTCCTTTGGGCCTCTAAGAGCATGAATCCTGCTCATCAGGGCAGACCCTGCAGGAGGAGGATGTCTGCTTTGTGCTGCTGTGACCAGCTCCCTAAGGCTTGCTGTTTTAGGAGGAAATGAGGTTCCCTGGTGGTTAGAGGGGCAAATAGCATGAGCTATTGTCTTGGCTGGGGCCTCTGAAAGAAAACCAGCCACACACGTAAAGGGCAAAATGCATGGGGACGTCTAAGTCAAAGATTGATTCCTTACCTGGGAGGGCTGGAGGAGGCAGTAGAGGCCCGTGACCTTTTAGCAGTCCCAGCACCCCACCACCTCCACACCAGATAGCAAGTCTCCAGTAGGTGACCTTGGGGGACAGACTCCGATCACATCGTGCTGTGCTAAGACTCCGACCTAATGCCGTCACCTTGAGAAGTCGGATTTCAGTCTCCAATGGATGAACTTTTTCTGATGGTGGTGCAGGCAATGGGGAGCGAACATTCAGGCCATAGCAGGTTCATCATCCTTAAAAAAAAATTGCTTAGTTTAGTAGGACGCCACCTCAAACTCCAGCATTTGATAGCTAGATCTACAAGTCTTTGTGGCTTAGCATAACCTGGTTTAATTGACATGCCGCTTAAATCATGGTCAAGAGCTAGTGTTGCATCGCAGTGGATAAGTTTCCTCCTGTGCTGCCAGCAAGTCCTGGCTTCTCCATGTCCAACCATTCCCTTCTAATGCACCTGGGGACGCAGCTCAGCATGACTCTAGTTCTTGAAGGACTACCCACACGGGAGACTCGGAATGGAATTCCAGGCTCCTGGCTGGGGCCTGGCTCAGCACTGGTCATTGTGTTCATTTGGAAGATTTCTCTGTAACTCTGCCTTTCGAATCAATCAAATCTCTTTTTTAACAACGAGAAAGATCAAGACAAGGTACAGAAATTGTTGACTTAGAAGACGTTTTTAAATTGGAAATCGTGATTGCAATCATGAGAGCCTGACGGAAATGTCCTTTCCCCCTGCAGATTATTTTTGAAGTGGCTTTCAACGGTCCCAAGGGAGGGTACGTGGCTCTGGATGACATCGCTTTCTCCCCCGTTCACTGCCAGAATCACACAGGTGGGTCCCTTTCACTGTTAGAACTTCCTTTCTCAGCAGAAACATGTGGTTAAGCCTTGCTTTCATTGCTTCTGATTTCCTCATTCTTCCTCATGGCATCCTTGAGAAAGTACTTAACCAAGTAGTGGTTTGTTTTCCGAAGTAGTGCTCTCCTGGCCTTGCTCCCACAGAGAGAGGCTCGTTTTTCTGACACCACACGCCAGTTGTCATGTGTGAATGTGCTTTCATCTTCCCGGCCTGCCAGGAAAGGGAAATTTACTAATCTATCTGTTTTCATTCCTTTACAAGATATCTTGAGACTGTAAACACGAATGCTTATCGATGTGTTGGTGAAGTTCTCAGGTCTCCTCCTAACTGTGTGTTTGGATTTTCTCAGTGTTTAAAGGTGTTGGCATCTGGTAGACAGCTGAAAGGTAGTACTACGTGTTCCTAATTTAGTGCTCCGTCTTTCAAAGTGAACCCTCAAAATATTCTACCATAGTCTATTTTGCAATTTTATAAATTTGGTGTTTAGAAAGAGGGGAGTTTTTTTTTTCTGGTCTTTTTGTTTATTTTGGGTCAGTGTCTGCTGCTAATGTTGATCATAAATAATCGTTGTGTCAGAAGATACAGACAGTGCCCAACAAAAGAAAGTTATGTCTGGGAAAAAAAAACGGTTTCCAAACTGTATCTTAGACAGAAGCTGAGTCCCTTGGAATCCTCTCCTTTGGGCTTTCTTTTCATTTTGCATCCCTGAATTTTTTTTTATGACAAGGTAAGTGAATAAGTATTCACAGTCTTTGTATAATGAGAGGAAATTTTTTTTCAGAGTCTGGGAGTTGCCCTCGTCCTTTTGAAAGGCTAGTTAGATGCTCACCTGTCAGCCTTCCTTCCAGTAAAACCATGTTGTGTGTTTCACTTCTTCAGTCTCCCCTGACACAAGTGTAACCTTGTCTGTCCACTGGTTAATGGAGGCCGCAGAGACCCATGTCTGTCCACTGGTTTATGGAGGGCCTCAGAACCCCATGTCTGTCCATGGCTAATGGAGGCCGCGGAGGCCCATGTCTGTCCACTGGTTTATGAAGGGCCTCAGAGGCCCATGTCTGTCCATGGCTAATGGAGGCCGCAGAGGCTCATATCTGTCCACTGGTTATGAAGGCCACAGAGGCCCATGGGATTGATGCACTGTTTGTTCTGCTTTGCTCAGCCATGCCCTTCAGCACTGCAGAAGCAAGCTGTGACTTTGAGGCAGATCTCTGCAATTTCTACCAGGATAAAGAAGGTCCGGGTTGGACCCGAGTGAAAGTAAGACCCAATATGTATCGGGCTGGAGACCACACCACAGGCTTGGGTAAGTCAGGGTTTGTCTGTGAGGGACCTCCCAGGATCATCTCCGTGGCCTTTCTTATTCCATACTTGCAAAGATGTTGACACTACTGGGAAGCAAAGACTGTCAGTCACGTTTTATTGAGTATTTGTTAGAATTGGAATTCGAGTTGTTGAGCTAGTGGACGCATTTGCCAATTAATTCCATAGCCAAACCTTTGGAAATTATTCTACCTCACTTTAAATGAAGCTGCTTTCCAAAAGCTGTTGGGCTGCATTTATGTGAAATCTCCAGAGCAGATAAACATATGGAGATTGAAAACAAAGTAGTGAGTCACCATGGCTGGGGAAGAGGCGACAGAGAGTGACTCTCCAACGGACTTGGGCTCTGTGCCTGTTGGCGTCACCTCATTGTGGGTGATGCTCACGTGTGGAACTAGCATAATGAATGTACTACATGCCACCGTATTGCACTCTTTCAAGTGGTACCTTCTATAGTATGTGTATTTTACTGCATTGAAGATGCACACATTGGGGAAAGGAAAGCTCTCAGAAAGTGTTGAGTGGGCACTTACTGGATTTAAGAGGCTCTTCAAACACGGGCTTTGAGTGTTCTTTGTGTAAGGATTATCTGTGAATGTAATGACACCCTTAGAGTGAGAATTGGAGGAAACAACTTGATCACAAGGGATTTAGTCAGAGAGCATTTTTCTCTTTGGGCCCCCGGAGTGAATTTACCTTGAGGCTGAAGGTGAGGCTCCGAGGTGTCCAGCTGCACTGTCGCTGGGTGTGGCCTTCCAGGAGCCCTCCCAGTTCTGCATCACTATTGTCACAGTTTGACTACCTGGTAGAAATGCAGGAAGTGCAAATCCTTTCCTGACCTTGGCTAGACCAACTCTTGGGGACACTGTACTGAGTACCGCAGCTATGAATCCGCCTCAGTGGCTGGAAAGCTTTTCAAAAGGAAAAGGAAACATCAGATAAAAGCATACACGAATAAATGTATAATTGCAAGTTGTTGTAAATGCCATTGGGAGGAAAATGTGGACTTAAAAGATAAGCTTATTTGGCACAAAAATAATTTTGAAACTTATGCATAATTTGTATTCTCCACAATCTTTTTTAAGACATCTCATGTGACCAACAGCTCTGCCCAGATAAAAACTTCTGTCCTTCTGCCCCTGCTGGTCACCAGAAGGAAGGAGAATGTTGCTCTGGCGTTTCCTGTGCAAGGCTGCAGCCTGAGCAGCTAGGTGACTGACTCCCAGGGGGAGTCGACTCCTTTGTCTCAACAAATGTGTAAATCCTAACTGATGATTAGAATCCGGGCATGCGCACTAGAAAATCAATACTGTTTATGAAGTTTACTTTGATTTTGTTTACAACAGAAACAGTAGATATTTTCCGTCACTTGGAGGTATTTGAAAATGCTTTCTGTGATTTAAATATAGAAATAGTGTGTGATGACAAATTCTATTTCTTTGAGCAAATTTTTTCCACTTGATGATCCGAAGTCGATAGCTTTGTGTTCCCTGCGTGCTGACTGCTCCATCTTGCTTGCAGGATACTACTTGTTGGCCAACACCAGGCTCACCTCCCAGCCTGGCTACATTGGAAGACTGTATGGCCCCTCTCTCCCGGGAAACTTGCAGTATTGCCTGCGTTTCTATTATGCCATCTATGGGTTTTTGAAAATGAGCGATACCCTAGCAGTTTACATCTTTGAAGAGAACCATGTGGTTCAGGAGAAGGTCTGGTCTGTGCTGGAGTCGCCAAGGGGTGTGTGGACGCAGGCCGAGGTCACCTTTAAGAAGCCCATGCCTACCAAGGTGAGCAGCACCAGCGATCCTGCCTTCATGTTCAGCTGCCGGACGGGATCCATGCATTTCGTTTTAGTCTACTGGTGTTATGCCAGTTTTCTGTTGTTCATGGTGTCAGCCTTCCTCCCACGCAGTACCTCCTGTCACCAGCAAATTAATCCTGCAGTTCTTTTCTGTTCAGTGGGTCTCTGAGTCAGAGCTCCCTAGCGAGTTGGCTTGTTGATCCCTTAAGCTTCACTGAGAACAGTCTAGAGACGGACAGTAAGTCAACACTGCAAATCCACCCGTTAACCTGTAGTTTGAAGCTGTTTCTTATCTCTCTCTGCCTCTCTCTCGAGTGCATATACACTCAGCAATGGGAGTGTTAATCTGAAACAAGAGGACATGGGTGTGCCTGGTGTGCACTGAGGCTCCAAGGTCCACAGCTGGTTGAACACTGAGGGGAATGGGACCGACCCTGCCCTGGCCAGAGAGAACTGATGGCAAGGAGTTCTCAGCAGCCGGTCTTGATAGCGAAAATACAGGAAGATCGCCGGGGAAGGAATGTAAAAATCAAACAGTAACTCCTAAACTCAGGAACTCATAGACTTAAGACAGCTTTACAAATGCAGCAAATTCTGTTGTCTGCTCCTCAGAAACAAAGCTAACATGAGAAAATCCACTCTGCTTCAGGCTTCTGTTCAGTGAGTATTTCTTGAATGTGCTCTCCGTGCAAGAAAGGGGCTCAAAGAAACTTCAGATCTTGAGAAAGGTGGAGCCCCTTGACAGACAGGCAGGCCTGAGTTTCTCTTGTTATAAGCATCTGAGCAGAGTCATAGCTGAGACATTTTTACATTGTTCCCATGACAGTATCACCAGGTACTTTCAGTTCATCGGAACATCTGCCAGGGCTTCATTAAAGCTTCATAATGATTAATTCTCTGAAAATCTCCACGAACTTCCTTACCATTGCTGGGCTACGATGTCGCAGGCTCACTGATTGAGGAGGGCTAACGCAGTTACAGTAGCTCTGGCAGGACAGAAGTGTACAAGCGTTAGCACAGTTCAGAGACCCTGCAAGTTGTTCTTTTGATGCTACTGAGGTCCGCAGTGTGGTGGTAGTCTGTGGTGCAGCCCAGAGGGACTAGCTCCTCCTGGAGAGGACCACAGGCCCTCAGCGCCGCAGGGGATGCCCCAAGCATCTATGTGCAGCAGGACTGAGGCTCACTCACCGAGGTAGAACATGCAGTGGAAATGAGCTCACAAAGCATGAGATGGGAAGTGGGCGCTCTCGCGGTGCCCTCCTGAAGTCACGTTCCTCTTCCATTGCCTGTTTTTCTTCCCGGCTGTCTGATTTTGGCCCCTGTCATTCTGTTGACTCTACACCTGTGCTTCCACCTGCTCATTGGCTCTCCTCCCTCCATTAAGATGCACCATATTTGCAGACTCTCTGATAGGAACGATTAGGAATTTATTTTACACTGTGCCTTCTTTTTCCCCCGCTTCCTTCTCACCACATTTATTTAAACATGTGAATTTTCCTCTTGGTTCCTGTCATAACTTTAATACACTTAACTATTGTTTTTCTGTAAACTTCGGATGGTTTCTTTCGACACCTTGAAAAGGGAGATGGATCAATTTTCACCCCTCCATTCCACTGAGCTCTCTTGCACCCTTCATTTTTCAAATTCTGCTACACAATTGGTGTTGTCATGGCTTGTAAAAATTTCTATTCCTTCACTTAAGCCTCCTAGGCTCTATCCACGGCTGTGTTTTCCACCATTGAATCCAAGGCTGGCTGTGCCTTTGTGTGCAGTCATTCCTCACACACCATTCCCAGCCGTTTGCATCCATCTCCAAATGCTGTCAGCCATGAAAAGCCACATCATCAGTGGATGAGACTTGGATATAAGACTAAGGGGATAAGGAGTCCTGTAGGTCGATTCCAAAACTTGAAAGACCCATCCCTCCTGCAATTCCTGTTTGCTCCCCGACATCTGCCCTCTGGGGAAACCTGTGGCTATACAAACCCTTTCACTATCACTCTTGGGGAAAGGCACTGCTTCTCACAGCAGGCACCTCCCCGGCTCTGCTTCTCACAGCGGGCACCTCCCTGGCACTGCTTCTCACAGCGGGCACCTCCCTGGCACTGCTTCTCACAGCGGGCACCTCCCCGGCTCTGCCTCTACAGCAGGCACCTCCCTGGCACTGCTTCTCACAGCGGGCACCTCCCCGGCTCTGCCTCTACAGCAGGCACCTCCCTGGCACTGCTTCTCACAGCAGGCACCTCCCTTGCTCTGCTTCTCATAGCGGGCACCTCCCTGGCTCTGCTTCTCACAGCAGGCACCTCCCTGGCACTGCTTCTCACAGTGGGCACCTCCCTGGCACTGCTTCTCACAGCGGGCACCTCCCCGGCTCTGCCTCTATAGCAGGCACCTCCCTGGCTCTGCTTCTCACAGCAGGCACCTCCCTGGCACTGCTTCTCACAGCGGGCACCTCCCTGGCACTGCTTCTCACAGCGGGCACCTCCCTGGCACTGCTTCTCACAGCGGGCACCTCCCTGGCACTGCTTCTCACAGCGGGCACCTCCCTGGCACTGCTTCTCACAGCAGGCACCTCCCTGGCTCTGCTTCTCACAGGAGCATCTCTTTAGCTCTGCCCACCTCCCCCGCTATGCTTACTGCACATAGAGCAGACTCTGCTGGCCCTGCCTTGGGTTTCATGCACCCCTCATTCTTTCTGCCCGGACTTCTCTTCATTTCAGCTTCAGGCTCAGTACGGGAGTCCTTCTCTGTGCTCCGTAGGGTAGGTTAGAGTTCTCTGGGCATGCTATGCTTCTCTGTCCATCTTGAGGCAGCGTGACGCAGTGCTTATAGACACAGGGTGTCTCTAGTTTCAAATGCTCCCAAGTTTTCTTGATTGCTTTATTCCTTCATTTTCCACCTGGAGCAGACATATGCTTGACATACAGTCAGCACTCAATTGAGTCTCTTTCCCGACACGTACATTCTGACTTTCAAGTAGAGAGTCTCAATCCTCGTTCAAATCACCTGGGAAAATTTTAGGTCTTAACGCTTGAGTTCCCCCAGAGTCAGAAAGCAGATATTTAGATAAACCTAAGCATGCTGGACATTTAAGAAGGTGTGGTCTTTTGATCAGGGAGAAAAGGCAGCTAAGTTAGGCAGAGGGTGTTGGGCTACAGTGTGTTCTTCCTGACCTCCAGGGAGCCCTGAAGCTAGTAGCCTTTCAGAGTTGTCTGTGTTGCCATAGTATCTTTATCATCCCATACTGGCTAGCAAATAGGTGCCGGCAACTGCCCAGCCGCAGCACTTTCCCGAAAATGGTGACCCTCTGTCTGCCTGCTGGGGCAGTAAGCCCTCGGGTCTGTGGGGTGGTGCCTGACAGCGTCTGCTACACCATAGGTCAGGCTCTCCGGGGATGGCACTGGGAACCCAGTGTGCACTCAGGGTGACTCTCACAGGCAGCGCAGACAACTGGGAAGGAGAGGGCACCGAGGAAGACTGTATACTTGAGCCTTGCTGCCGGAGAAGTCGCACTGAGGCAAGGGCATGTCTCGGCAGTGAGGCCCCAGCCCTCCGCCCCAAGTGCTGAGTTCCTTGCGACTCTTCAGTTGGGCTGCTGGTCTTCCAGCCTCTTAGCAGCCTTTCTGTTAGGTGGATCGGAAGACATAGGCTGCATTCGTAGTCTTTGTGTGCACTCCTTAAGCCGAGACACGCCTTCGAAGCTTCCAGAGATGTAATACCGAAACCCCTCTGATTGTTTCCCACATGTGGTTTCTGTCCACCGAGGGCACAGGACTCTGCAAATGTTCTTGCCGTTTAGAAAGGACTTAAGTCATGCAGCACCCAAAATAAGCACATGGCAAACAGATGTCAGCTGCTGCAGTCTGTCTGGAAGCTTCCACCGGCGGCTCTCTACGGTTCAGCCCAGTGCTTGTTCTAATTCCAAACTGACGGCAGCGTAGGAGGTTTCCCTGAGCATGAGAGCTTCGCATACATTGGTTAAGAGGTGGAGCTCTTAGTGACTGAGATTTTGACATGAACTTGCTGGAACTTGTGAAAGGTCACAGTCTAACCTCATGGTCACATGGTCCCGGGACCTTCTCTCTGGGCCCCAGGCCTCAAGGCCCTCCTGCCATCAGTGTTCCTGCAGAGGCTCCTGCTTCACAGCCGTCCTCTCAAACAGGAACTGTCCAGCCACCTAGCTTCGACTCTTTCCCCACCCCCAGATTATTCTTCCATCACACTGTTGAGTTTGTTGAGTGCATATCCCAGTCTTAAAATAATCTCATTTGTTCATTTATTTGCCCATTCCTGTCTGTATCTTTTTTTCCTGTGAAAATGTAACCTCTTTGGCACCAGTAGGATCCCTGGGCTTACCAGTCTGCTGCGGGCACAGGCATCTTCTGTTATCTTGTTTCATTCTCACAACACTGCTGTAAAGGGACTAATGTGTCTCCTTTTAGAGCATCTGGCATCAGAGAATGAAGTCAAATTAGCCCAGGATCATCCCACTGTTTCGGTGGAAAAGAACAGCTGAACTGAGAGCTGTCACACAGGGCCTCACGGGAGGGAAGAGAGCTCCTGCCTGAGCTTTGGTCTTCCCTGTCTCATTCCCAGAGCAGTGCAGCTGGGCAATTCCCGGAGCAGCTGGCCAATTCCCGGAGCAGTGCAGCTGGGCAGCAGCACACAGCTCGGGGCGGAAGCTGCGTAACGAATGTTCTCTCTGTGAGCTGGCACGGGAGGCCTCAGCGGAGCGGGCTGAGGGGCAGCCTGGGCAGAACAGTGGTGAAGCCCCAAGTCTCAGTCCCTTCCCTTCCTTTCTCCTCCCTCCATCCTGGCACCTGCAGGCTGTGTTATCTAGGATTTCCCACCTGGCTTTCCACTGTCCATGTTTTGTTATTTTTCTCTCTCCTGGTGAGTGCTTAACCAGCCTGTTTTAGGACCATGTACTGATTAGATAACAGTTGCTTTGTATCACCCCAGAGAGTCTAATCTACCTGAAATGAA